TTTCAATTTTTTTTAATATCCAAAAATACTTTTTATTAAAAAAATGGAAAAGGAGGAAGGAGGAAAAGGAGGGAGGACTTTCTTTCCTCTTGTGGATCAGCACAGCCACCCTCTGAGGTATGAAGCTAAGGTCACTGTTTTTATTACTTACATTACTGCCCTTAGAGGGCAGGAGGGCAAGTGGAGGGGGCAGTAACCAAGCCAGGGCCAGGACAGATCCCCCAACTCCTCGCCTGTGATTTCCACAGGCTACTGCTGCCCCAAGGGTTCTGCTGATCTTCATTGCTTCCTGCAGAGCAGATGACACCCTGAGTCTTAGGTCAGGAAAGCAGCCTCGGATCAGAGCAGTTATTAAGATGGATCTCAGACAGAGGCAGGGGCCGGGAAGGAATTTCCAAAGTGCACTTCCTGAAGTGCATGTTTCTCCTGCCTAGACAGGGTTGATAAAACCCAGGGTTTCTGCAGGACCTGCAAGGAAGACTGCAAGCTGTGTAAGGAGGTCTGGAGTCACTGTTACAATATCCCTCTGTGACTGGTGACTTCAGGAGGGTGTATGAGATATGAGTGTGTGTGCATGGGCAGAAGAGAAATGGTGACTAGGCAGCTCACGTTCCCCTCTGATAACCCCATGTTTTCATTAGAGGAGAAAAAAATAATCCTAAGGAACTGGCATTTTCCCTTCAGAGGAGGAACTGACTCCAAGTGTCAGCTGAGAAATAAAACACAGGTAGGAAAGCCCACTGTGCAGGTAAAGTGAGGCTGGAGATGGCAGAACTCCTAAAGTCAAGACTGAAAAGGGTTCAAATGCCCCAGGACTCATGATACCGACATCTGGAGCTTGGGAGCCAATTTCTAGACCGTTACAGTGGCCGAGGTGATCAGACAGACCAGGAGGAAGTCTGAGAGCCTCAGACTCTGCAGGTCCTGGAATTATAGCCAAAGAAAGGAGTGAAATATTCAGTTTGCTTAGTACCAGTGTGCTTCCGTCCTTGGTTGAGGAGCTCAGTTACCCAACAATTATGTGAACATCCTCCAAGGGTTTGGCCCCTCTGAAGCAGGGACAAGGAAGAGACAGCCCAGAGGCCAGCCCCCAAAATGTCCCTAGCTCTATGTCCTTATGCATGTTTCCCAACCCTCCAGCTCTCCACTTCCCTGCCAGGCAATGGAAGAACAGTCACATACCTCATAGCAACACTTCCCTCCACAGTTGACTGCATGTAACATATTCAGTGGTGGCTACAGAAGATTCTATCACCTTGTAGCATCATCGCCATCTTAGTTTGTGTCAGTACACTCAGTGATGTTTGCACAACAGCAAAGTCTCCTAACAATATACTTCTCAGAAGCATCCCTCCCATTAAGTGATGCATGACTGCAATTTGCTCCCTCTATCTGGCTGACAAAGGGTCAATTGTGGAAAGTGTATATACACAATTCTTAAACCGATATGGCTCGAACAATTTTAGGCTGAAAGGGGAATGACCAGGACAATCTCACAGACTGGACTCAAGATTTTGAAAAATCTATTTGGCTGAAAACACTGGAACCTATTCCCAGGAGTAGGAAGGGCACCAAATCTGGGTCCACAGACCAGCAGGCCAGATGGCTGAGCTGCAGCCAGCCGTAGGGGCCCAGGTTGCAGCTCATGAGGCCAGCCAATGTGACTAGCAACAGTGAGAACCTAGTTAAGCTTCCTGAGCAGGAGATGGATATAGCTGTGATCAGAGCCAGATGCAGGCCTGAAGTCCATGGGACTCCATGCAGATTGTTATGTACTGATGTGTTCTTAATAATCAAGACACAGGCTCAGGCTTAGATCTGAGCAAAAGTAGGCAAGCTGGCCTCTTCAAGCCATGCTGCATCTTCATCTTCATAGGGTAAGGGGGCTGCAGAACCTAGAAGACTCGAGGTCAGCAAAGGATGGAAAGAAATAAGGAGAAAGAGGAGGTATAGCATGGGTGTGGTGGTGCACACAGAGGTGTAGAGAGGGAAGATCCATGATTTCTTGCTGGGGACCCTAAATTCTGAACAGACTTTGCCACCCAGTCCCAAAGTGGCCTGACACCCATCATCGTGAAGACACAGCAGGCAGATTTACTTTCTCCTCCCTTGCTTGAGCAGGTGCAGAGGCATTTCCTGCTGCACGTGTTGGAGACACTGTCCCCAGGCCAGCCCTCTTTCTTCCAGGGTCAGCCAGGGACCCAAGTCTAGCAGAGATATCTGGGCGTACATGCTGCTTTCTTAGAATTAAATAGTTATGAGATGACAGGATCTTCATTTAGATTCCATAGATAGGTCAATATTTAGTATCTTTACTGAAAACTAGACATTGCCTCACTGGAGTCTTATCCAAAGTAGGCTCCATGCTTCCTGGCAACAACATTCATCTCTCCAGAAATGCCATCTCTCCTCTGCTAAAATTGTTTGAGATTCCCACTCCATTCCTTTCTTCTTCCTCCCTTGTTTTTAACCTCACCTCCTGCCAAAAAGGATTTCAGGCAGGCCATGTTTCTTTCCAAAGTACTAGAATACTGCAAAAGGAGATTGGGATGGCTTCACTACCCCCTTTGGAGAGGCTGCGAAGATCAGGACCCTAGATTGAGGCAACAGTTAGTACTTTCTCTTGTCCAAGGGCAGAGTCATCTCTAGGCCCCACACAGCTATTTCCAACTTTGCCCACCCTCCTCAGCTCTCCATGTCCACTTTTCCCCTCAATTTCAGTAAGGACCTCTCATTTCCTAAACTAAGGAATATCTTAGTGAAAAACTTTCAACAGATTCAAAATGTAAATGGTTACTTTCCCACTTATCTTCTTTCTCTTTGGGTTCTGGCCCTATGCCAGAAATGCACCTGCATCCAGGCCTGGTCTGCAGGCTGTCCTCTCTTAGTTGGAGTGATATCCTGCTTTCTCCTTAGGACCTACCTGGTCTTTGCCCTGGCTGTATCAACAGGGCTCTCCCTGCTGGCTCCTCATTCTTACCATTCCCACTGTCTTTTTCCTGACTGTCAGAACATTCTGAAAAAATTTCCCCCTCCATTCTTGCTTCAGTCTACTATATGTGGGCTTCCATATCAGCATCCCACAAAGATGGTGCCTGTCAAGGTCACCAGCGACTTTCTCATTGGTAAATACAACCTCAGGTTTCATGTCTTCCCTTAGATAACCTCTTAGAAGCATTTGATACCACTTGCCACTTCCTTTTTAACTTTAAAACAACAACAACAACAAAGCCTCTCTCTATACTTTTGCCTTCCACAGTGTCACTCCTTACTTTTGTTTCTGCCTATGAGGTTGTTTCCTCTCCCTGACTTTGCAGGCTCATCCTTGGATGGTGATAACTTCCCAAGGTGTTATCTTCAACTCCTCTCTCTTCACACTCAAGGTATGTATCCAGAGGGGGCATTTACTCCACAGCTGTACATGGTGCTTAGATACTGATGGATGCAAATCTAAATGCTCAGTCTGACTCTCTCCCCCAGGTTTCAATGAGAATGATCCACAGCTGAACAGCTCCATGTCAGGCACTTCAAGATAACACATGCCCAATTCAATTTCACCATTTTCCTTCCAACCCTGTCCTCCCTCTCTATTCCCCATCTCGGTGGATTCTTCACTGTTCTCCCAGCTGGATCTGGTCACTCTGTCCAATAAATTACTTCTCTTTAATAGTCTTAAGCTATTCTCTTTATTCTTGCTGCAACCATGACCTGATTTCCAATTTTCATAATTTTCTCATTGGGATCCCTTCAATGACAAATGCATCCATGTCCTCAGTTTATTTCCTTATAATCTGCCTATTTTTCTAATCTTTCCACCATGGGAATGTATTAACACACTCAGAACAAACAATAAAACACTATTTTAAAACAATAACCTAACCATGCAACAGTCCTGCCCAACAGATCATGGCTGTTCAACTCTGCGGGCACATTGCACCACTTATAAAATCAGACACTTTATTCAGGACCCAGAACATGTCCCCACCTCTGGTACTACATGCTAATTGGAAGAGACAGTTTATGGGAGGGACAGTAGAGTCAGAGGAAGGGAGCAGAGATTCAAGAGTCAAAGTTCATTTAATAAGCTGTGTGATAGCTACAAATTATTTCATCTCCGAGTCTCAGTTTCCTACCTGGGGACATGAGGACCTATGGTTTCTGTCATACCTGTGAAGGACCAGTAAGACATCTTTTCTTTTTTGGCAGTACTGGGATTTGAACTCAGGACCTTATGCTTACTAGGCAGGTGCTTTGTCACTTGAGCCATGGTCCCAGTCCTTTTTAATTTAGTCATTTTTCAAGTAGGGTCTCGCATTTTTGCCTGGGGCTGGTCTCCGATCATAATCTTTTTACTCTTGCCTTCTGTGTACCTGGGATAACAGGCATGCACCACCACTCCTGGCTTTTTGATTGAGATGGTGTCCTGCTAATTTTTGGTCTGGACTGGCCTCTAACTGTGATCTTCCCCATTTCAGCCTCCTCAGTAGCTGTGATTATAGACATGAGTCACCCAGCCCTACTAAGATAGCATTTTATGACAGCATTATAGCACAGCTCCTTCTGAAAGTCAGCTCTGAACAAGGGATTAAGAAAGAAAAGCCCCAATTCATATTTATTATCTACTTCTCAATCTAACTCCAAAAGTGTTTCTTCCTCAACCTCAATATATCTTTTCCTTAAACTCTGTCTATACTTCTGTAGGCTTATTTTGTCTCCCTAGATCATTAGCTATCTTAAGAGGTATGCTACACCTTCCTCTTTTGCCATGTTTCCATCCATAGTCATGGTCTGTCATTGCACAGAAAAGTCTCAATAGAGGTGCACAGTTAGGTGCAAGGGCTTGTGCCCACTGCTCCAGTCAAATCTGGAACTTACTTTCTAAGCTAAGAGGACAGATGAAAGCTGTCCTCTTAGCTTAGAAAGTAAGTTCAAAGCTTACTTTCTAAGATGAGACAAAAAGGAGCATGTGGGTATGGGTGAGGGGCAGGGAGACAACTCACCTTTACACTGCAAACCCTGCCGCAAGAGGCCCCAGAGCAAGGACCCACAGTGGTCACAGAAGGTGGGGACCTTGTAGTTGTGGATCCCAAACTTGTGGGGCATGTTGACGCTGAACCGCTGGGAGCCCACCTGCAGGGACAGCAAAACATAGAGTGAACGCTCAGCTGCTCCGCTCCCCTGGGGGCTTATCCCAGGGCCCCTACAGAAAGCACGTGTCACTGTAGGCCTCTGCTGTGCTGTGAAAGCTGCATGAGAAACGGAATGAAGATAGCCTCCCTCCTGGCCCAGCCTTCACTCTTGAGGTCCCTAGCCCATTGCCTGCTGCACCAGCTGACTTGGCAAGGCCACACAGCATCCCTTTGGGACTTTGGGTGTCTACACGATGGCAGCACCCAGTCTACAGTGTGAACCTCACACTGGAGCAACCCAGGAGATGTCACCATGTTTTTTCAATGCTGCTTTGTGCACAGAGGACTTGCGTAGGCAGAGAGCTTCCAGGACCTAGAAAGTGGATACAAATCTTGTAAAACAGTTTATCAACCCAGCATGGTGTGGAGGAAACTGTAGTCACCAGGTGGACAAGTAATAATTCCAATGATGATGGCTAACCACGAGGACAGTAAGGTATTGGTGATGACCAGACACCAGGCACTGTTACCTCACTTAAATCTTGCTACTACTGTATGGGGAAGGACTTTGTGCCCCCAAATTCACTGATGAGGAAATTAAGACACAGTGAGGTGGGGAAACATGTCTATAAGCTGATACACAGGGTTGTGTGGTAATGGAGCTAACAGGGATAGAAGAGGTGGGAAACATGAAGGGTTCTACAGAGGCCATGGTCACCAGTGTGAGCTACTTCTTGGGTCTTCTCTGCCCCTCTCTGCAGATACTTTCTGCCCCTGTCTAGGGAGACAAGCCACACAATCCAACCCTTCTCAGACTGGGCAGGAGACTATCACCTTCAACACTAATGAACTGGGGAGGAAGCTGCTCTTCTGACTCTTGGAACTGGAGAGTGGGTAGCACACAGCTATGAAGTTGTGCCTTGGCTCACTAGCTGACTGATGAATGAAAGACCCCATGAGAAACTTAGGATGGGAAAGATGGTGGTTGGACATTGACACGGACTGGGAAACAAAGATGAAGTCATGGCTGCAGTGTACACAGGCACACGCACACACATATACACACACAAATACATTCCCGCCTTTATAGCCAGTTCCCTATCACCCAGCTCCTGGGAATGCCTGGTCCTTCATGGGACTAGGATGCTACTGAGACCTGCTTGAAGGACACAAGCTACCAATTAGGGTCTTGGCTAGGTATATGATTTCTAAGAACAATTATGCCCATCCTACCTTAGATTCATAGTTGAGGTATGCCATTTGTGAATATACCTGTCAACCCTACATTTGTCTTTCTGAGCCCTAAGGATGGATGAGGTCACTGTGCCCACTCTCTTCCTACAGCCCTGAAGACCTTTACTGAGATCAGAAGCTGGTCTTCCAGGAGCAGTCCTACAGGGATGTGAATGACAGACTAAGGTAAAGAGGTGAGGAAGTTGTTCCAGGTTACCAGGAGGTCAGTGTGGGGTTGGAGAGAGCCATGTGGTCCTCACTAAGGACTGCAAGGTATCAAAGAGAGTGAGAGGAAGATGAGGTACATGAGCAATAACTTGCCAGAATCTAACAGATGGAGAAGCAAACACAAAGGCCACATGCATGCAAATGAACACGTATGTGCGCACACACACAGAAAACAGAGAACAAGGATTGGGCAGAAAGATAAAATTGTGAGATTCAAAATGAGAAGAAGGAAAGGAAGTGATACAAAGAAAGATGCCGTATTCCTTGGTTACCACACCTAGAAATACAGGAAGGAGTCAGAGCCACATAGACGCAAGTCAGGGTGAGCAACTTGCCAAGTGCTCATGGTGGGAAAAATCCACGGAGCTCATCCACAGAGCACATTTACTTGAAACAGAGTCTTGATACGTAGCCCAGGCTAGTCTCAAACTCACTATGTAGGTCAGAGCATTTTTTGATAGGAGGGAGGGGATCAAAAGCATGGTGTATGGAGTGTCATGTGTTCGCAATGTGTATACCTGTAGGGGTATGTGTGTGTGTGTGTGTGTGTGTGTGTGTGTGTGTGTGTGTGTGTCCACATACATCACTGAAGATGGTTACACAAAAGAATGAACTTAAAGGTTGGTTCTCAGTAGGGCAGAACCAGCAAAAAGGCATGTCCATTACCAACAGGCCAGATAAATGACACTAAAGGAAGCACGAGATGGCAGCAGGGACACCTGGATGGGCAATCAACTCTAAGAAACCCAGAACCCCACTTCCTTAGTGTCCCTGTTGGTCTGTCTCCTGGGACACATACCAAATCTAGAAACACACCTCACTAGAGACTTTCTACTACTCAATGTATCAGGAAAGATAGGAGGGAGAACTAAGTCACAGATTAAGTAGGTTCTCTGTGTTTCAAACCTCAACCCTCTAGCCTGCGTGGCAAGGAGTCTTGTGTGACTTTCCTTTCAAGGAAGTGAGGAAAAGCTTTAGAAGGCTACAGAGGTTTCCAGATGATACCCTTGAGAACAGTACTTGTGTGTTCTTCGCTTCCATGGGACATGGCACAATGCCTGCCATAAAGGAAGTGCCCAATACATAGTCAATAAGCTATCCATAGAAGGAAGGAAGTCAGACAGCAAGCACGCCCTCTCTTCTTTCATTTTCTTGTGAAAGTATTGAGGGTAACAATGTACTATGGGGTTATGCTCTGAGGCCAGGAGTTAGGAGGTCCAGGCCCTGGCTTATACTTTTAACCACAACAAGAGACCCCCTGAAAATGACTGAAGTGCTCAGGGCTCAGTTTACCCTTCAGGAGCATGGAAGACTCAGTATACACCTTGCCCCTTGCTGCTTTCCAAAGATTGTAAGAAGGCAAAACAAGGTAAAAGATGAGAAGTGTCTTAGATGCAAAGATACTATTTGGCTGAATTATTTTTAAGTGGATAGAGGTCTCTATAAATTAATCTTTTTGGAAGCCAAATTATAAACCCACCTGATTCTAAATTCAGTGATTCTAAATCTTCTCAGGGCCTCTCTCTCTCTCTCTTTCTCTCTCACCTGATTTTAGTGGCTTATGATTATACAGAATTTATTTTACCTAGAATTAAAAGCATGTCTTTGAAATCAACCTTTGTGAACACAAATAACACCCTATCTACAGTCAGACCCTGGCATCACCCTCGGAAAGGTTTTTCAGTTTGTTAGTGATAAGATCATTCTTCCAATTCAGTTAGTGAAAACCTGGCTCCCCTGTCAAATTTTCATGCTTCCTTATTCCTCGCAACATCCTTAAAGCCAGTCTGACACTAGTTTCTAAGATTAAGAGACAACAGAATGTAGCAGTCAAGGGCTCAAATTCTAGAACAGACCACCTGAGTTTGAACTTGGCTCTTTTACATACTAACTGTGTGACTTGGGGCAAGTTTTCTGACCTCTCTGTGCTTCTAGTTTCTCTGTCCAAAGATGAAGATGATAGTGACATCTACTTTACTAAGATTGTTAAAAGATTAAATAATATATGATAAAGGGTTTAGGTCAGGACATAGTAAGTGTCCAATGAATGCTGACTATTGTTATTTATTGTAGTATTTCCATCTCTTAAGTATTTCTTGGATTGTTCATTCCACTCCATTTCCCCATCACCTCATTACAGATAAGGTTCCTGCTTGTGTGTGATATTTCTGTCTCTGTTCATTACCTGTGTGGATTTACGGACACATCACCTAGCCACCTGAGTGTTCCAATAAGGTGAAATGTGAATTTTCCTTGTGGGCTTTCTAGCTCTGGGATCTGATTGCTCTTGAGATAATATCCACAGGCATAAAACTGAATGCTCATCCTATAGATTGTGCCTCATGCCAGAAGACCATGGACAAGTCCCCTCATGCTTGATCAGCACAATGAAGACAGAAGAAGGATCTCAGAGAGATCAGGTTTCCTTGGGAACATCCTTGGAGGCAGAGAAGGGAGGATCTGGCAGGGAAGAAAGCCCAGAATCCTGCATTATAAATATTTACCTCATCGGGGGTTTCCTGTTTCTTTAGTCCAGCACACTTTGTAATGATGAGCTCATGACATCGCTTGTGGACGACGCAAGTGCAAACTGCAGATAGCAAAAAAAAAAAAAAAAAAGCAAGGGTGAGTGATGAGAGGAGGAAGAAAGTTTCCATTCCGGGATTTAATCAGGTCTTGGTGGAGGCAGAAGGGGTGCTATGTTCCTTCTGCCATGAGTTTTAGTGTAATTATTCTCCCCTCACACCTGCTGCCAAAAGTCCTTCATGCAGTCATTTAAAAACACTGCCGTCAGAACCACTTGAGACAAAGAAACATTGATGTTCACAGGGCACTGGAAGTTTTCCCTGGTTCTGAGCATACTGATCAACTTTCCCACTGTGATCTGCCAAGGTTAGGGCCTAGCTTCCTTCCCGGCCATCCCATGGAGTCCTCCCTACTAAAGGTATTGTATCATCTGCAATATTCCACTCAGGGTCATGCCAGGGTGGCTAATGTGAGATGGAGAACTGCAGCAGATGGCACAGAAGTTTTCAGGCTTTGAAAAATATGTGGCTGTGCCTTCAATGCCAAACTTTCAAATTGCTGTTGAATTTAATGTGTCCACAAGACGTGGCCGGTAGTACTGTCTGGAGGGTCATGAGGCAGTGGGGACCATCAGTGGTTAAAGAGGTAAGTCACTCTCTAATTGCACACACGTATCTCCCCAAAGACACAGCCACCTCTAGCAGAACCACCTCAGTTCTTCCAAGGGTACGATCCAAGTTAGATGGTGCTTGGCCTGGAGGGGGAGCGGCTCCCTGTCCTCACCTCAGGGGAAGCCTGAGCATGACCACAGCGAATTCCCACCCTCCAGTTTTGTATGACTTAATTTTGCATTTGTAGCTGAATAACCATAGAAAAATATAATTTTCAATACCTTCAAGTGAGCTTTAAAATTTTAAAAGTTAATGATTTCACAGTAGAGATTTAAGAGAAAGAAAAAGAGTTGGCAAATACCAGTCAGTGATACTGACAGAAACAAACAGGGAACAAGAGAGGAAGGAAATGAAAGAGCACAAGGACCTAGCACAGGACAAGTGGGACTCCAAGATACCTCTGGTTAATGCCTAAGTCTCACTAGGAAAGATTAAAGTGCCACCCACTACCACTGCCACAAAAAGCTGGAGAGCTTGGGGGTTTGCTGGGACACCAGGAGATAGGTGGTACTGCAAAATACACGTCCTATACCTGTACACGTGAGTGATGGCCAGGCAAGGACAAAGCAAGCAGGGTCCCGGGGCCTGCACACAAACTATCTAGAGTCTGTAAATGTCATCAGTTCTGGTCCATGCCTCCCACAAGCAATAGTGATCTGATCCTAACTGTGAGCTTCTGAAAGCTTAGTTCACAAAATACCTCTTACCTTGACATTGGTATCCCTGCTTTCCTATGACACCCCTGCAAAGAAGAATACAATTCTTTAAGAAAATAAAATATTGAAAACCATGCATGCAAAGCCATCCAAATATGATCACTACCCTTGCTGCACTGAGGGAGTCCACTGAGCGGTGAGACTTCACTGCCACTTGCAGTAACTTAAAATACCCTCCAGAAGGCCACAGAGGTACATTTAGAGCAGGTGGACAGTCTGGTCAGCATCAGGGCAGGTTTTCTGTACAATCAGCCACACTAGTTGAGGGTAGCAGTGTTCTGAAAAGCTACAAATGGCCCTCTCTGCTCTGGACAGAACTTGGGCAGCTACACATCCCTTTCCTCATGGGTAAAACCAATGTTCCCCACCTCCCAGCATCAGAACAAGCGCTAAGGGCTTTTCGATGGTAAGGAAGAGCAGAGGCTGGCAGGCATATTCTGTGGGCAGCCCACAGACCACCTAGGACTACAGGCAGTCTATAATCAGGACTGAGGGCTCAATCTACTGTTTGGGTGAAAGCCAACATTAGGGTTCTTTTCATGGTCCCAGCTGGGTCTCTGGAACAGGGCAGGGAGTCAGCATAAAACAAAACAATCAAACCAACCCAGCCTTATCCCCATGCTTGGTATACCTGACAATACAAATGCCCCCTGGATGAGTTTCTACTGACACTTGACCTCACTTGCTCTCTCTCACTGGGAATGAGAAGCACTGGTGGCAGAAGTGGGCAGTCACTGGTTTGGTTGGGTTTCCTCTCAGTTGTGTCACCTCAGCAACTTGCTTTGTAACACCACAAGGGTAAGACAAGTGACTCCTAGACATCGCAGGAATTCAGAGGTCCTCAGCAGAAGTCAAATGCCCCCTGGCTGGGTTCATACTGAAATGTGGCCTCTCTTGCTCTCCCCACTGGATCCAAGTGTGTAGGCCACTTCTCCACCAGACTCATCAGATGCTCAGCAAACTTGCCAGAAAGGCTGATGGGATGTCAGGAAAAACCTGAGCCTTAAATCAGGCTAACATGGGGTGGAATCATACTCTGACACTTCCCAGCTGGAGAATATTGTCCCTTTGTCATTTTCCTAGTGTTGGAATGGGGTCAATACTACATAGTTCCTAGGAGAGTGGGAAGATTTAATTAGATATTCCCAGTGCTTAAAATAGAACCTGGCATGTGGTGGGTACTTACTAAAATTCATGCTCCAGCCCTAGACCAGTGTTTGTAATTCTCCTCTACCACATGAAAGGCCTACTGCCTTGCCTTGCTCTATCAAAATCCCATCATCATGGAAGGAGAAATGGCACCTCCTCCAGGCAGCCTTCCCAGGCTACTCCAGATGCTGCTGCTGCTCTCTGGCTCCTGTGGGATCTTAACAGTTAGCAGCAGGATGGTTAGCCTGCTTACTGAGAACTGCTTATGCCACACATACCAGAAACTAGGTATTTTTTCACTTCATTATGGAAAAATTCAAATATATATTAGAGTGATAAATATAATGGGACCTTATGTACCTATCACATAGTATCAACTATCAGCACATGGCCTGTCTCTATTTCATCTTCTTCCAGGCATCACAGTTCATAGCAAATAATTCACTTTGTCTCTATAAAAGACAAGGATTCTTTTAAAAAAAACATACAGTGTCATTGTTATTGTTACAAAGTCCTAACTACTTAAATATGATAAGATCCTAGCATAAAGTCACCAGGATCCATTTTTTTCTTTCCATTTCTTCCCCCGCTCGCACCATTTAACACATCACCCACATAACCTCCAGAAAAGGCTCAGCAATCAGACACACAAGAAACAAAGCACTTCAGTGCTGCTTTTTTTTTATTTTTATTTTTTCACAGTGAAATTAATTTTTTATCTGAAGCCAATTCCAGTGAAGGTTTAAAATCTGAGAAACTCTCTACCACCTACTTTATTAAAGGAAATACTTTTGTCATTATCTAATTCTTTAAGGCTTATGTCTGTATTGTGATGAGATTCAAGGAAGGCAATGGTCTTTCTCTTTGGAGTCCATCTTTTAAACTTGAAAGTCAGTGTTCTAAAAAGATGTCAAAATTACATTACGGAACCTCCGTCCAAAGCTCATACTTAACATACATCATACTCGGACTTTTATTAGAGGTACACCTCCTTCATTTCAAGTTAAAATACAATGATTTTTGTCTGGAAGAAAATAATTCCCTCACCCATTAACTTTCATAAGAAAATCTCATCTTTTATTGCCATCAGCATTTTAAAATAAAGTTTATCCTGTCCCACCCCAACCCCACCTTCTTGCCACAGAAAAGTCATAACTAGAGGTTACCAGAGAGAGGGGGCTTACCAGATGAAATCTCTGCAGTGGGAGCAGTAGGTGGGCTGCCGAAGGTAGGTGGCCATGAACTTGTGGCCATTGACCTGGTGGACCCTGCGCCTGACAGCCCCTTGCCGCTTTCTCGGCCGCATGCGCTCCCGGAACACGCGCTCTTCATTGTCCTTAGGGGCTGGGGAAGGGCAAGAGCAGAGGAGAAAACAGTGTGGGTTAGTGCACCTTCACAATGACCTTCTGCTGCAGCACTGCCCCGTCCTCAGGTGAGTGAAGACGGGCTCGCTGGAGAGCAGCCTCTGGGCTTTTGTTGGGGTTCAGGGGTCTGAGGAGTCTCGCTGCTCAGGGAGGAGCTGAGCACATGGGGTGGACAGATCCAGAATCACGCATTCCCACTTTTCCACATGCTCAGAGTCCATTCCAATCTGAATTCTGTTCCTAATACAGCTGCCCATTGCTCTCCACCAGAGCCTAGGGGTTTAAAAGGCTTCAAGTGCAAACCTTGGCATGATTTCTGAGCAATGTGACCTTGGACAGATGGTGTGCCCCACCCTGAGTCGTTGCAGGCATCTCCTGAGTAAACAGGGACCACACTGCTAACCACATGGTGTGGCCTGGAGGAGCTGCTCACCTGCTGCCTGCCTCAGAGCAGTAGCTGCCTAAGAAATCCGCCTTCTTCCTTCTGCCTCATACCCCAACTAGGAAAATCAACTCTTCTCCAAAGGTCAAAAGGAAGGTAATGTTAATACCGTGAAAGCAGACAAGGGTTCCAAAGGTTCCAGACCTACCACCCCACTGGAGATGAACGGATCTTCTTATGTTTTTCTTCCCTCCACCTCTGAGATTGCCCCAAGCCTAAGAACTCCTTGCAAGGGGGACTAATAGATGATAACAAAAATTATAATAATGATTGTCATTGACTGTTAATGGTCGTGCTCCCTGACCTCCTGCCAAATTCCTGTGTTGAAGCACAAGCCCCACTGGAACGGTGTTTGGAAATGGACCTTTAGGGAGATAATTAGGGTTGGATGAGGTCATGACGGTGGAATCCCCATCATGGTAGGAGAGGCGTCCTTGTAAGAGGAAGAGACCTGAGTGAGCTCCTGTCCACCATGAGCACACAGTGAGACGGGAGCTGTTCAAAAACAGGAAGAGGGTCCTCACTGGAACTGACCATGCTGCCACTTCAATCTCAGAATTGGGGTGAGATTACAGATCTCACAGAGCCTCTGGTACTGTGAAAAATAAATGTCTGTCTGTCTGTATTTTTTTTTTTATGGCAGCCTGAGCTAAGCCAGTGGTAATGGCTAACAGGCTGAGAGCTTCCTCTCTGCTCTGGCAGGTGCTGAAAGCATTGTGTGTAGTAACTCACTAAGTCCTTACCACAGCTCTTCTTGAAGAGCATTATGGTCTCCATTTTACAGGTGTCAACCTGAGGAACAGAGGGTGTAACTAATTTACTACTAAGTGGAGCCCAGATTTGAGCCCAGAACGTGGGGAAGCAGCCAGTGTTCCACTGCCACTGCTCTAGGGATAGCTCTCATCCGTACAGGAAGTCCCAAAGTTCTCAGATGAGTGGCTCTTGTTACGGAAAGAGTGGAGGTGCCTGTGGACACAGACTTCCTGAGGACAGAGTAGACAGGCTGTGCGCCTCTTGCCAGGGTGCCTGGAAGGACCCAGCATGCTACAGCTTAGAATGCACTGGGAAGGCTCTATACACCAAAACACTTCCCATGCCAGTTGTACCCAACATCCCCACAGTGATGTGACTCCTGAGGAAGAAACCTTGCTTGCTTCTGGACTTCTGAATACAAGAGTCCCTGCAGCTGTTTAATACTTCTTAGCTCAGCAAGGGCAGGAGAGGATAAGAAAACTGAAGGCCCTCCAGGTGGACCTCCTTCAGGTGGGCCTGGATGATACTGGGGACCAAATGTCCAGGTGAGCTCAGTGAAACAGGTGAACAGGTAGCTGTTTACTGTGAAGATCCCCTAGTACTTCCAAGCTACAGCTCAAACACAACCTTAGATGACCCAGGCAGAAGTCTGTTTCCTGGCCCCCAGGCTGCCTTGGTTTCATGCACCCCCACCCCACTTTTTTTCCTGAAGTGCTGAGGTTAGAACCCCGTACCTTGCACATGCCAGGCAAATGCTAGACTACTGAGATACATCCCCAGCTCTTCTGGGTTTCCTATTAACTGGTGGCTGTTGTTTCAAAAAGTCTCTGATACTGACTGTACTCCAGGTAGAGAGAGCCAACCACCTTCTTCTACCCTGTCATAACACTGGGGACTTGACCCACTGACCAAATTCTCAGGTAAACCCCCATGACTTAAACAGAAACATCTACACACACACACACACACACACACACACACGAAAGCGAGAGAAACAGGCATGGTAATCATCGATCAGTTCTGCAATTGTAAGTGATTTTTATTTTCCCCTCCTATGTTAACTACATTTACAATATTCTATTTTTATGAGCAAGAAAATAAACATAAGTAAAAATCAAATTTGTTCAGTAGCCCTTACTTGCTATAAACCTAACATACAAAAATTCAACCCCCACACCCCAGACCAGGGGATGATTGCATAAAAGCATCATTCCCTTCCTTCACAGAACTCCTCAAGAATATACTGAAACCATAAGTCAGCTCTGGCAATCTGATTTACAAATTTCTCAGTCATTTTGCATCCTGGAAATCTTTACTTTCAGTTAAAATGGCAATAATTCCAATCTAATTTTCTCAAAGAAAGTCTGCCATACTTGTGGCCAGAGTCTTCCCTTAGAGCAATTTCTCAGCCTTTTACAGAAATGACCAGCAATGAATGTTCTAAGCTATGTTTGCACTGATTTAACAGGGCAATATGGCAACCAATGAATTTGAATGCATTTATTTTTAACGACCTCTTGAGAGGTGGTGGACGCCTGGAGAGTTTAAACTTGAGGTCGTGGTGGAAGGGAGGGCCTGCATGCAGGTTAGGCAGATAGCTAAGAGCTACTACTGTATGTCTGAGTCTATCTGAGTGTAACTTCCCCAAAGGCTTTTATTACTCCCATTTGTAGAGGTTATAAGCATTGCCTAAGTCAGATTTTATGTCAAAGATGTAGAGAAACAGAAGGCAATAGAAGCAAAAGAATACAAGGAAACTTCATGCATCAAATGAGGCCCGTGTGGGAAGCTACACACAAGAAACAGGATTGGAGCTCGTGGCTGGTGAAAACACCCCTATTCCACATTCTGCTAGGCAGGGAAGGCAGAGTCTGGCCCAGTACATCCCTGTCACCAACAGGCAGGGAAGGAAGCAGCCTACATATCCTGAAGGGAGAGAGAAGTCACAAGGCTCCTCTCTGCCTCCTCCGCCTCTCCTCCTCCTCCTCCTCCCAAATCCTCCATGCTAGGCTACAGAATCCACCACCAAGAACGTATCTCTCCAGCATTTCCTGCTGCTGCAAAGGGTCTCTCTCAAAATGCAGCTCCCACCCATGCACGGATTTATTTCTGGGCTCTCTATTCTCTTCCATTAGTCTATATATATTTTTTATGCCCGCACTATACAGTTCTAACCACTGAAGCTTTGTAATATATTTTGAAATCAGGAAGTGTGATAACTCCAGCTCTGTTCTTGCTCAAAATCACTTTGGTTATTCAATCTTTGAGGTTCTATATGTATTTTAGGAATTTTTTTTCTGCTTCTATAAAACAAAATGCCCTTGGGAATTTGATGGGAATTACATTGAATTTGTAGGTCACTTTGAAAAGTATGTACCCTTAACAAAACCTAAACCATGAAGAGTCACTCAATCTTCAATAAGGGTGCTAAGATCTCATAATGGGGAGAGGAAAGTCTCTTCAGCAAAGGGTGTTGGGAAAACTAGGTATCACATGCAAAAAAGTGAAATTGGACCCCTATCTTATAGCATATGTGAATATCAACTCAAAATGAATTACAGACTTAAAACAAGACCTAAATTCATAAAGCTCCTAGAAAACTCAGCAGAAAGGCTTGTTGGTATTGATTGGCAATGATATCTTGGATGTGACACCAAAATGCTAACAAAAACAAAAATAGACAATTGGGGCCATAACAATCTAAAAAACCTTTTCACAACAAAAGAAACCATCAATAGAATGAAGAGGCAACCTGTGGAACGGGAGAAAATAATTGTTAATCTCCAAAATCTATAAGGAACTTCTACAATGCAATACCAAAACCCAAATAATCCAATATAAATCAGAGAGAGGAACTGCACTGGTATGTCTCCAAAGACGTACACATGATCAATAGGTATATAAAAAGATGCTCGACGTCACTAATTATTAGGGCGACGTATGGCAAAATGATAATGAGACATCATGTCAGGCCTATTAGGCTAGTTCTATCCAATAAAACAAAAGATAAGTGCTATCAAGGATGTGGAGAAAAGGGAATCCTTTTACGCTATTGGTGGGACTGTAAATTGGTATGGCCACTATGGAAAACAGTAGGGAGGTTCCTCAAAAAATTAAAAATAAAACTACCATAAGATTCAGCATCCCCACTTCTGGGTATGCATCCAATGGAATTGAAATCAGGATTTTTGAAGAATTATCTGTACTCTCATGTTCACTGCAGCATTATTCACAAGAGCTGGAACACAGAAGCAACCTGGCTGCTCATTGATAGGGTGAGTGATAAAGGGAACTGTGGCACCTACATGAATGGAGTATTAGTCAAAAAAGAAGGAAATCTTGAACCTGGAGGACACTATGCTAAATAAAATAAGCCAGTCACAGGACAAATACCATGTGTCACCACTTACACGAGGGTTCTAAGATACTCCAAATCAAAGCAGGAGAGAGTAGAATGGTGGTTGCCAGGGTTGGGTGGGGAGTCAGGGTGGTATTAGTCAACTGCATCAAGTTTCAGTTACGCAAGATGAGTAAGTCCTAAAGCTCTACTGCACAGCACAGTCCCTACAGTTAGCAATACTGTATTGTATAAAAATGTACTAAGAGGGTGGTATTAAGTTTTATCACAAAAATAAACAAATTAATAAAAATGAAGCTTCCATAGTAGGGTTAATGTATCATGCGTATGACGTATAAGAAAATAGGCATATGATTGTGTATGGAAGTATGCATATATGTACGATCTATTAATTTATTGCATACTATATCGTTATAATTTATATAAC